AGATGAAGTTTGGCCATCTTGGCCTCCAAGGTGTACTCCGGCAGCACTTCTTCCAAAACCGATCTGTTGGTTCTTTTGGCAGCCCACGGCACTTTCAATATTCTCCTCCAACACCATAACTCAAAGGCATCAATTCTTCTACGGTATTCTTTATTCACTGTCCAGCTGAGGTTATTGAAAATACCATGGCTTGGGTCAGGCTCACCTTAGTCCTCGAGCTGACATCTTTGCTCTTCAACACTTTAAAAAGGTCTTGTGCAGCAGATTTGTCTAATACAATATGTTGTTTGATTTCTTGACTACTTCTTCCATGAGTGTTGATAGTTGATCCAAGAAAAATGAAGTCCTTGACAACTTCACTTTTTTCTCCGTTGATAAGAATGTTGTTTATTGGTCCAGTGGTGAGGATTTTTGTTTTATTGACATTGAGATTTAATCCATACCGAAGACTGTGCTCTTTGATCTTCATCAGTAAATGTTTTAAGTCCTTTTCGCTTTCAGCAAGCAAGGTTGTATCATCTGCATATTTCAGGTTGTTAATGAGTATTCCTCCAATCCTGATGCCACGTTTTTCTTCATAGAACCCAGCTTCTCGGATTATTTGCTCAGCACACAGGTGGAATAAGTATGGTGAAAGAATACAACCTTGTCACACACCTTTTTTAATTTTAAACTGTTCCGTGTTCTCATGTTCTGTTCGAACAGCTGCATCTTGGTCCGGGTCCAGATTACTCATGAGCACAATTAAATGTTCCAAAATACTCTTACTTTGCAATGTTGTCCATATTTTATCATAATCCACACAATCGAAAGCCTTTGCATAGTCAATAAAGCACAGGTAAACATCCTTCTGATAGTCTCTACTTTCAGCCAAGATCCATCGGACATCAGCAATGATATCCCTCGTTCCACGGCCTCTTCTGAATCTGGCTTGAACCTCTGGAAGTTCTCTCTCAATGTATGATTATAACCATTTCTGTATTGCCTTTAGCAAAACTTTACTCACATAGGCTATCAAAGAGATTGTCCAATGATACCCACATTCCATGGGTTCACCTCTTTTTAGAATGGGCACAAATATAGATCTCTTCCAATCAGTCAGCCAGATAGTTGTCTTCCAAATTTTTTGGCAGAGATGAGTGAGTACCTCCTGTGCCACCTCACTTTCTTGAAAGATCTCAATTTTCATCCTATCAATTCCTGGTGCCTTGTTCTTTGCCAATTCCTTCAATGCACCTTGGACGTCCTCCTTCAGTATCATTGGCTCTTGATCATATGCGGCCTATTGAAATGGTTGAACATTAACCGTTTCCTTTTGGTACAGTGGCTGTGTATTCCTTCCATCTTCTATTGATGCTTTCTGTATCATTCAATAATTTGCCAGTGAATCTTTCAATAACGAAAGTCAAGGCTTGAATTTTTTCTTCAGTTCCCCCAGCTTGAGAAACGCTGAGCGTATTCTTTTTGGTTTTCTAATTCCAGATCTTAGCACATTTTGTTGTAATATTTGGCTTTATCTTCTCAAGCTGATCTTTGAAATCTTCTGTTCAGCTCTTGGGCTTTCTCATTTCTTCCATTTGCTTTAGCATCTCTACAATGGAGAGCAAGTTTCAGTGTCTTTTTTGACATCCATTTTGACTTTTTCCTTCTTTCTTGTGTTCTCAGTGACTTTTTGCTTTCTTCATGTATGATGTTCTTGATGTCATCCCTCAACTCTTCTGATCTTCTCTCTTTAGTGTTTAATATATCAAATCTGTTCTTCAGATGATCTCTAAATTCAGGTGTGATATATTCAAGGTCATATTTTGGCTCTCGTGGACTTGTTTTCATTTTTCTCAGCTTCAGTTTGAATTTGTGTATGAGTAATTGATGGGTCTGTTCCACTGTCTGCCCCAGACCTTGTTTTCACTGATGATATGGAGCTTTTCCATTGTCTCTTTCCACAGATGTAGTCAATTTGATTTCTATGTATTCCATCTGGTGAGGTCCGTGTGTATAGTCATCTCTCATGCTATCTAAAGAAAGTATTTGAAATGAACAAATCATTGATTTTGTAGAATTCTATCATGCGTTCTCCAGCATCATTTCTATCACCAAGGCTATATTTTCCAACCACTGATCCCTCCTCTTCCTCTTTGCTTCCAACCTTTGCATTCCAATCACCGGTAATGATCAATACATCTTGATTGCATGTTTGATCAATTTCAGATTGAAGAAGTTGGTAGGATTCTATTTCATCCTCACTGGCTTTAGTGGTTGGTGTGTAAATTTGAATAATAGTGGTATTAACTGGGCTTCCTTGTAAGCTCATGGATATTATCCTATCACAGACAGTGTTGTACCTCATGAATGATTTGGATATGTTGTTTTTGACAATGAGTGCAACACCATTCCTCTTCAATTTGTCATTTCTGGCATAGTAAACCATGTGGTTGTTAGATTCAAAATGACCAATACCAGTCCATTTCAGCTCACTAACGCCTAAGGTATCGATGTTTTTGTGTTCCATTTCATTTTCGACAAATTCCAATTATCCCAGATACCTACTTCACACATTCCATGTTCTAATTACTAATGGATGTTTACAGCTATTTCTCTTCATTTTGAGTTGTTCCCCATCAGCAAATGAAGGTCCAACGGGCTTTTCTCCCATGGGCTTTACTCCATTTGCGTCATCACGGTCAACTCTACTTTGAGGAGGCAGCTCTTCCCCAGTCGCATTTTGAGTACCTTTAAATCCGAGGGACTCATTTTCCAGCACTATATCTGACAGTATTTCTGTGCCATACATAAGATTTTCAGTGACTAAGTATTCAGAAATAATTTGTCACTCTTTCTTCCTAGTCTGTCTTCATCTGGAAGCTCATCTGCAACCTGTCCACCATGGGTGACCCTGTTGGTATTTAAAATACCGGTGGCATAGCTTTCAGAATCACAGCAACTCACAAGCCACTACAGTATGACAAACTGGCAGATGAGTCAGGAGGAAAAAGCCTTATCTTTCTCCTGTGGAACGACTGGTAGTTTTAAACTGCTGACCTTGAGGTTAGCAGCCCGATTTGTAACCACTATGCTACCAGAGCTCCTTAATGATCCCATATAGGGCTTCCAAAGCCTTGTCTTTCTCTCAAAGAGCAGCTAGTGGGCTCAAACCACTGACCTTGTGCTTACTAGTCCAGTGCTTATCCTACAGAGCCACAGCACATAGTGACCCTGTAGAACTGCTCCATAGGGTTTTCAAGGCAGTACATCTTTAGTGAAGCAGACTGCCACATCTTTTTCCCATGGAGCATGTGGTGGGTGTATACTGCCGACCTTTAGGTTAACAGCCAAGCACTTAACACCTGCGCTACCAGGTCTCCTTAGACCTTAGCTAGGTGCCTTTTCTGGAAAGACTAAAGGTGCAGTATACCTCCTTTGATTGCTTTTCACTTTACTGAGCACCCAGGACACTACATGTTTGTAAATTGAAGATGTGTGACGCCCTGCACTGAGCAAGTCTGTCGGTGCCGTTTTTCCAACAGCACGTGCTTGTTTTGTGTGTGCGTCGTTCTCGTGATCTTTCCAACTTCTTCATAATGCTGTTGCACGCTTTGTTGTTGTTGAGTGCTGTCAAGTCGATTCCGACTCATAGCAATTCTGTATAGGGTTTCCAAGGAGTAGCTGGTGAGTTTGAACTGCCGACTTTGTAATTCAAATGTACCTTGTGGTCTAGTGCTCCATTGCACACCCCAGGGCTCCATTGCACACTTAATAGACTATAATACAGTGTAAATATAACTTTTATACACACTAGGAAAAAATTTCTTCAACTCGCTTTATTGTGAATTCACTTTATTGTGTTCTGGAACTGAATCCACAATATATCTGAGGGAGGCCTGCATATAAAAATCTGGACATGGGGAATAGGGATGTGGGACCCTGGCCAGAGTGGGTGGTGAGGGAGGGTGTGGGAAGCAGAGGCTCCCAGGTCTTCCTCAGACAGGGTAGCTCTCAAACTCAGCCTTTGTGGGGCCCAGAACTCCAGAAGGACCCTGCCAATGCTGGGGGCTCAACTCTGGGCTTCATGGATCTCAAGGTCAGCCTCTGGCCCTTGGGGTTGGTTGCTGGGAGAGGAGAGGACCACCAAACTTCCCCAGTGCTTTGAAGTCATCTCTGGGGGACCAATCTCTACTTCCTCCTTGGTTTCCACATATTTTCTCCTTGGCCGCCATGTCTGGGGGCTCCCTGTGCTCCCCCGCCCCATGCTTCACCCCATCTGACCACCTGTATTGTGAGTGTCTAGTTGAGAGCTGACTCCACCACTGGAATGTGTTTGTGGAGTGGACGAATTCATGAGAGGAGCCATGAACGCAGAGTTTAGGGTTAAAAATGCTCCCTTACATTCAAGAACTCACATGCCTCCTTGAAGCCTTGTCCTCCCAGTGTACCACAGGGCCACACAGCATCCACCAGAAAGAGTACCCTGGCCTCCCCGACCTCTGTGATCTAAGAGGAAGCTTTGGGCAGGCAGAGCCTGGTTGACTTCACATCATAGCCCTCAAAATCCACTGTCTCAGTGACCTGACACTTCAACAGGCCCCAGCCTATTCCCTGTTTGGGAAGATGGGGGCAGGCGGGGACAGGGGGCACTAACCCAAGTGGGAGTGTGCCACCTTGCTGACCAACACATGTGACTCTGCAGAGGGTTGACTGAGAACAGCCCCTACCCCAAAGTCTAATGGAAGAGGAAATTATTTCCCCTTTGCTTGTTTCTAGTTAATCCAAGAGCTAGCATGAGTCCCTACTGTGAGTCAACTCCATTGGAGTTGGGGGGCTGGGATAACCACCTGCTGCCTGGCAGTGTGCTCCTGAGTCTCCAACATTCCTTGCACTACTCCTTGAAACAGCATCCTCTTTAATCAATGAGCCCTTCATGCTGAGTGCTCAGAGAGGAGCTCTGTCCCAGCCACCTGCCCTGGGCAACAATCTGACCCAGAAATGCCTCTCTCTCATTGCAGGGAATACCAACAGCATCTTTGCGCTGGACTACATCAGCGGAGCACTGACCTTGAACGGACTGTTAGACCGGGAGAACCCTCTGTACAGCCATGGATTCATTCTGACCGTGAAGGTGAGGCCTGGGCATTGGGCATCTCATCCAGGTAGACAGGGCCAAAGACTAGTACCCCAGGCCATGAGGCATCCCCCAGCTGTGTCTGAGGTGCCAACCTCAGGTAGAGGCCTCAAGAAGCACACATCATTTCTGCTGGGCTGACCCCTGGGATTTGTACATGGACCCTGTCTGGAAGATACCAACGTTTATCAAGTGTGGAACTTGTCAGGTACCTTGCTGGATACTGAATCCATATCAAACCCATAGGATGCAATTTTTATCCTGTTTGGGGATGAGGAGGTAAAGGCAGAAAAAAGCCAAGTTACCAGGCTTGTGAGACTGCTCTAAGGTCTAATTGCATACTCTAGTTGCTAAGTTCTTACTGTTATCCCTTGATTCCTAGCTTTCTCTGATCACTACCATCAAAAGTTGATTCCAGTAGTCATGGCAATGTAATGATATATGACAGGATGACTGTAAAGCTAGTGTTCTCCCATGTAAACTATCACATAATTCACAATAACACAGTTTAAAAAAAAAAGTTGATTCCAACTCATAGCAACCTGCTCCTCAGGTTCCCACGACTGTAAATGCTTAAGGGAATAGACAACCTCCTCTTTCTCCATGGAGTGACTGGTGGCTTTAAGCCGCTGACCTTGCAGTTAGCAATCCAAAAGCTAACTCATAGCACCCCCAGTGTCCAGGTCCTGAGCAGCCAACTTGAATTCTTGAGTTTACCCCACTTCCAAATCTCACAGCTTCCCTGGGGCTAGTCCCTGCCTAGAAAGCAGCACTGTAGTGGAAAGTGGGCAGAGGCTGCTGGGAGCCCCACCCCAGGAGGTGTGTGGCCTCAGCCCCTGCCTGCAGTCAGCCCTCACTCTGCTAGTCTTAATGAAAGTCAATGGCTTGCTAAACCATTAGGAGCCTGGCCCCAGCCATTGACTGAAAGCAGGGGGTGGCTCAAAGACTGAGGAAAGGGGTCTGGGAAGGGTGGTACCACCCAGCCTGCGCCTTAATTGTTCTCCTTGACCTTGAGAAAACTAGAACAGTGATAAATTGCTTAGTGCCCTGGTGGTGCCATGGGTAAAGTACTCAGCTGCTAACTAAAAGGTCAATAGTTTGGAACCAGGAGCTGCCCTATGGGACAATGATGTGGCAATCTGCTTCCGCAAAGATTTACAGCCTTGGAAGCCTTAGGGGCAGTTCTCCTCTGTTCTATAGGATTGCTCTGAGTCCGAATGGGCGCCTTGGCAGTGGATTTGGTTTAGGGTTCTATTCGACTCCTGGTTCTCCCGCCTAGCACCAAGACCACAGACCGTCCCAGGCCTCCCTTCCTGATCTTTGCTCCCTTTGTTGAGGAGAGAGCTCCACCCCAGTGGGAGAACTGCCTGCTAGTCCATGGTGCCATTAACTCACTGTGAGACCCTGAACTGAATTTTTCCATCTTCTGATAGAATGTAAGGTGACTCCCCAAACTTGGCTATGATCTGAATCCCCTGGGGAGCTGCTGCAAGGCTCTATTCCTGGGGTCAAATTGGGAATGGGTGTTTTGAGCCCTTGAGACCTAAGTCCATCTATTCCCCTACTCTGACCAAGACCCTCACTGCCTAACACTGCACTCCATCCATAGCAGATACTCAGTTAAGTCTGAGTTACTCCTTGTGCAAAATTCATTTGCCTCAGTTTCTTCATCTTTCAGATTGAATAAAGAGTCTCCTGTGGTCCCAAAATGAACCACCAAATCTGTCTTGTCCTTCCCACCTTATGGCAGGCACCTTCTTGTCAGGTTATAGAATCCTACTGCCTGGCTTTGAAACCTACCCGAGTTATATGACTTTGGACAAGTTGTTTAACCTTTTGTAGTCTCTTCTTCCTCATCATCAGTAAAATGGGAATACTAATGACAGAATCTTCCTTCTAGGGTGGCGATGAGGGTTTGATGGGCTAGATAAGTCACACAAAGCACAGTGCCCCCGCATCAAGTGAGCTGTCGGTAAACAAGAGCTGTTGGTAAACAAGAGCTGTTATAATTATAGCCACCTCCCCTCTCTGGGATGTTCAACTTCTGTCTGCAGGGCACAGAGCTGAATGATGACCGCACCCCGTCCGATGCCACGGTCACCACGACCTTCAACATCCTGGTTATTGACATAAATGACAATGCCCCCGAGTTCAACAGCTCCGAGTACAGCGTGGCCATCACAGAGCTGGCCCAGGTTGGCTTTGCCCTTCCTCTCTTCATCCAGGTGGTGGACAAGGATGAGGTGAGTCCCCCGAATGGATGACCTTTTCATACTGTGCAGCCCGGGCCAGGATGTTAGGTGTATCTGTCTGGGCTTCCAGATTCTCAGCTATAAAATCGATGCAAACTTTGCTGCACCCCCTCCTTGCTATATTCTGAAGATAGTTGTTGTTGTTGTTGTTAAGTACAATGGAGTCGGTTCCGACTCATAGTGACCCTGCACGGGATTTCCAAGGCTGTAAATCTTTACGGGAGCATAAAGCCCATCTTTCTCCCGCAGAACAGCTGGTAGTTTCAAGCTGCCTCTAGCAGCCCGATTTGTAACCACTACGCTACCAGAGCTCCTGAAAACAGTAAGGCTGTAAAAATCAGTGGTCTCCCGTCTTAGAAGCTCCCCTTATACCCTGTAAAAAGTGTTTGAGCACACACCTTCAGTGTGTGTCTATATTTATTTAAAAATGATATACATGACTGTCTACTAATATTGAGTGTTCAGTGGCTCCATACGATAAGCACAGGACTATGAACCGCAAGGTCAGAGGTTCAAGCCCACTAGCCACTCCACTTGAGAAAGATGAGACTTTCTGCTCCCACAAAGATTTTAAAAGCTTCAGAAACCCTATACTGGAACGCTATGAGTTGGAACCAACTATACGACATTTAACAACATCTAATAATATAGTATGAACTTTATAAGACACACACACAAATAGAGCTTTTAAAAGTTAGAATTAAACCCTAAGCATATTCCCCATGCCCTATTTGATCATCTTGTGCCCATTGTGGGGTGCGTGTACACAAGTTTAAAGGCTCCTGTGTCGCTGTGGGCTAATGCATTAAACTGCAAAGTCATTTGAACTGCAAGGTTGGTAGTTCAAGCTCACCAGCCATTCCTTGGAAACCCTATACAGGGTCGCTATGGGTCGGAACCAACTCAACAGCTCTTAACAACAACAACAAATATGAATGATAACTTTGACCCAAAAACCCACTGCCATAGAGTGGACTCCAGCTCCTAGCACCGTATAGGACAGAATAAGAGGTGCTTCCTAGAGTTGCTAAGACTGTAACTCTTCACAGGAGCAGATAGCCTCATCTGTCTCCCCAGGAGCGACCGGTTGTAACTGCAACTCCTTGGATAACTTTAACAGAATGTCTTACTTTTAATCTCAGAGTGGTAACAACCCACCTTTCCCATGTCAGAAGTACAGGAGACTTAGTGTTTTTAAGAGGATCCCAGGCACCAAGAAGACTCAGAGGGGTTCAGGACACCTGCATCTTTTTACCTCAGGGCCTACCCTACCTGAACCCAGTCTTAAACGGAAAACACTTGGGCCACTAGCCAGGGAGCATTTTAGGGGAACAGAGGAAGGGAGAAGGTGCTTGAGGCACTCATGGGCCCTGTCCTACCCTGCTGTCGTATCATACAGGATCCTCAGCCGGCCTCCCACCCTGGTTCCCTGTGTCCCCTCGCCCCTGCCAGTCAGCAGCCCAGGTTGTTAATCGACATCTATTTATTACTGCTGTTCCCTGGACCCACTCTGTTCAGGAATTCCATTAGGTTCTCCCGCCTGAGGTGCTTCTCTTCAATTACTCCTCAAGCAGCAAAGTGGGTCTTGCTCCAGGCAGGGCGGCTCCCTCACTCTTCATGCTCCTCTCTGGCTGCTCAGTAAACTACCCAGTGTGCCCATGTTAGCCCTCTCCCTACCTCCTGTTCCCAACTCCTGTCAGCTTCTCTACGCTCAATGTGACCCCACCCCAAAGACTCAGAAGGCCACAGGAGCAAATCAGTCCCCCACCTCCTACTGAGTCATTCCATGTACATGTACAATACAAATGAGTATTGAACACCTACTGTTGTTTGTTGTTAAGTGAGTTCTGACTCATAGTGACCTTCATAGGATTTCCAAGGAGCCAACTTTGTGGTTTAAATCTACCTTGCAATCCAGTGCTTTATCCCACAGGGCCACCCCAGGACTTAGCCTCCTGGGGAGTCCAGGATTTATAACCCATGGCCCTTGTCCCAAGAGACCAGCAGTGTTTTTGTACAAATATAACTATCCAGTTGCCACTGAGTTTCTTCCGACTCCTGGTGACCCAGGTAAGTTAGGGTAGACTTGTGCTCCATCAGGTGTTCAGTAGCTGGTTTTCTTGGAAATAGATTGGCCATGTTTTTCTTTCAAGGTTCCTCTGGTAGACCTGAACCTTCATCCTTTCATTTAACAGCTAAGTGTGTTAACTGTTTATACCACCCAGGGACTCCTGTACAAATATGTTGTTGTTGTTAAGTGCCATCCGCTAGGTTCCGACCCATAGCGACCATGTATAGGGTTTCCGAGGAGCAGCTGGTGAGTTTGTACCGCCGATCTTGCAGTTCAAACGGCTTTGCAGTCTGGTGCATTAACCTAAAACGCCACATCAGGACTCCTGTACAAATATAGTATGTCCATTTTTAAACATACACAAAATGTAGTGATTTCTAAAGATTGTGTAACTATAAAAACAACATATGCAGGGGTTTTAAGAATCTTGTGGAAAAATACCATTATCTTTCAATTCTATTTTTCCATGAACTCTGTGAAGCCCTCTCGTGTTTTCTCAGTCTTGTGTGTCCCCTAACCAGCCCCCTACAGCCCCACCCCGGAGTATAGCACTTCCCTTTTAGAGACTACTAACAAATAACAACCCTGAGCTTTGGAGTAATAATACTGCCTGAGAGAAGTGAACCGGCCTGAGGGGCCAGTGAGTGCAGGCAGTGAGGACTCCCAGGGTTCAGATGAGCAGTAGGACCTGGGAGGATCCGGGAAGGCCTTATGGGGAAAGGGACACAGGAGAGTGTCTTGGGGCAAAAATCCATTGGTGAAAGGAGCTGGGCAGACTGACAGGCTCCGGGAGGCAAAGGCCTGCAGGGAGCAGGCAGCTGTGTGGCAGGGCTTATGTAGAGGGCTGGGAGGCCTTGGAGAGTCTGAAATGTCAGGCTCTGTAATTGGGACTTGATCTTGGAGCAGTACAGAAAGGAAGCAGCTTGGGTCATAATGAGCAGTGTGAGCTCTAGATCCAGACAGAGCCTGTGTTTGACACCAGACTTACCACTTACTGCGACTTTTTTTCTTTTGGGTATGAAAATAGATTTTTTTTTTCTTTTGAAAATTGTTTTATTGTGGTAGCAAAGCATTGCCAATGCAACAGTTTTTGCATATAAAATTTAGTGGCACTGTTCCATTCATTGTGTTATGCAACCATCACCTCTGTCCCTTTCCAAATTATCCCATTAACAGAGATTCAGTGGTCCCCAACCAGTGACTCCCACTTCCCCTACCTTCCCATCCCTAGAGACCACTAATAAACTCTAGTTTCTGTGCATTTGCCTATTCTAGAGTTTATATAATATTTGTTCTCTTGTCACTGACTTGATTTCATTCAGCATAATACTTTCCAGGTCCACATATTGGATTCATTTCTCTTTATGGCAAAGACCTTGTATGTCATCATATTCCATTGTATGTAAAAACTGAAAACTAAAAAAATCAATTCCAGCTCACAGCAGTTATAGGTCAAAGGAGAACTGTTCCATAGGGTTTCCAAGGCTGGAATCTGTATGGAAGCCAACTGCCACATCTCTTTGTTGTGGTGGGTCTGCTGTGTTCAAACCACCGACCTGTCAGTTAGCAGCTGAGCACTTAAGCACTGCTCCACCAGGGTCCCTAGGTATGTGCCACTTGGTTGTTCCATTCATCTGTTGATGGACACTTGAGTTGTTTCCACTTTGATGCTGTTATGAATAATGCCACAAAGTACATTGGTACATGAGTTACTATGATCCTGGGTGAGTCGTTGATACTTTCTGAGCCTTCTTGGACTCATTTGTTTAAAAAAACTAACAAAAAATAAGCAAACAGAAAAGGAATACATAGGTGAGCATACACTGAAGTAACAAGGTAACCCCACAGTCTCGGTGAATTGATACTGCAGAAGCTTCTTTCTCACTTACACTGCTTGTCCAGCATGTGTCATCAAAGAGACACCCCCCAACTCCCATAGTCACTTGGGGCACAGAATCTGGAAGTGCATCATCTCAGCAATAGGAATGTAGTCAGTGCAGGGCTCGGCACCAGCTCTTCGGTGCTTCATCCCAGAAGGGGATCTGTGACCTCTGCCCACGGCCCCCACCTCACTGCCTGAAGGCTGGAGGTGTGGGGGAACAGCTCCCCTGCATATTCTCTTTGCCAGAGAAGCTGCCAACAGGGATGATGAGGCAGAGATGCCTGCCATGCATAGGTGTCAGACATCATCACCAGCCACAGAGCTGCAGCTCCCTGAACAAGACTGGTCCAGGGGGCATCTCTACACACAGCCAGAGCCCCCAGGGCCCTGCTCACAGGGTTGGGGGTGTTCAACATCACCTGGCCCCTTTGAATTTATCCACAGCTTCCTTTGCTAGAAGCCCTATCTGCAATACCTGCAGGAATAAATATTGAGGGATGACTGGGCTTAGCCTCCCTGGCCAGGCACATATTCTGTAGTCAGGGAGCCCAACACCACCAGGTCTCTATTCCTTGGTCTCTACTGCTGCTTTCTCCAAGTCTCTGACTGTAGAGGACAGGCTTCCTCGCCGCTGGGTCCCACTGCCCCAATGCCCACAGAGAGAGGAACTAATGAACTAACAAGACCTTGGCAACCTAGAAGCCTAGATGACCCCACCTCAAGGTCCTCTTGGCATTACTGTCATTCCTGACTAAATGGTGGTGGTGGTGTGTGGTTCCGGCTCATGGCAAAGCTATGTAGGGTTTCCAGAGCTGTAAATCTTTACGGGAGCAGAAAACCTCATCTTTCTCCCACGGAGCAGCTGGCGGATTTGAACTGTTGACCTTGCGGTTAGCAGTTCAACTCATAACCCACTATGCTAAGAGGGAGGGATAAATCACTTTCTACCTCCAGCCCTGCTGCTAGCATCTCCCATCCCCTCACCCCTCTTCAGAACTCTGGAGAAACTCAGATCTGCCCTGGTAAATGCTCCCGAGA